AGCGCCTCATTGAGATTCCCTTCTTAGGTGTCTTAGTTAGGGTTTCTATTGCTGGCAAGAAACACCATGACCATGGCAACTTTTATAAAGGAAAACATTCAATTGGGGGTGGCTTGCTGATAGGAGGTTCAGTTCATTATCATCCTGAAGGGGAGTATGGTGGCATGCAGGCAGATGTGGTGCTGGAGTTGAGAGTGTTACATCTTGCAGGCAACAGAAAGTCAACTAAGACACTGGGTGGTATCCTGAGCATAGGAAACCCTGACCCCACAATGGCACACTTACTTCAACAAGGCCATAACCACTCTAACAAAGCCACACCTTCTAATAGTGCCTCTCCCTATGAGATTATAGGGGCCAATTACATTCAAACTACCATATTCCTCTCCCTGGCTCCCATAAGCTTGTAACAATATAATGCAAAATGCATTTAGTCCAACTTCAAAAGTCCCCATAGTTTATCATAGTCTCAGCAATCTTTAGAAGTTCAAAGTTCAAAGTCTCTCCTGAGATTCATGCAATCTCTTAAATGTAATCCCCTATAAAATCAGAATAAAGAAGGTCACATACTTCCAATATATAATGGCACAAGATATATATTACCATTCCAAAACGTAGGGAGGGGAGCATAGTGAGGAAATACTGGACCAACGTAAGACCGAAAACCAGATGGGCAAACTCCAAACTCTACATCTCATGTCTGATGTCAAAATGCTCTTCAGATCTCCAATTCTGTTTTTGTTTTTGTTTTTGCTTTGTTGACTGCAGTACACTTCTTTCTCTTGCGCTGGTTCCACCTCCTGTTAGCAGCTCTCCCCTGGAAGTATCCCACAACTCTCTGTTAAGCCAGAACCACGTGACCAAAGCTGCCAAGTTCTACTGCTTGTTGGGGCTGGAACATGGCCTCCTCGCTCAATTATATCTTCACCAGCTTTCTGTCTTTCATTGTCTAAGCTTGGCTGTCCTGAAACTTGCTCTGTAGACCAGGCTGGCCTCAGATTCAGAGATCTGGCAGCCTTCCCAGTGCTGGGATTAAAGGTGTGCCCCACCACATCTGGCTTTAAGCTTTTCTTTAGTTTCTTTTCCCAAGTTGGAAATGTAGCTGGGTGGGATCTTGCCCTAAGGTCGCCATTCCCTTTATTCTATTTCTTAATCTGTTTATCTTCTTGAACACAGGATTTAGCTCTATTCTACTTCCTGGTGCTTTTTCTCTCCTTAAAATTTACATTTTGTAATTTACCCTGCTCAGCATACTCCTTTTCATGATAAATCTTCATTAGAGTTACCACTAATAACCACACAACAGAGTCTATACTAGGCTGTTTTGAGATTTCTTCTGCCAACAGAATTAATCCAAAACTCTTCACTTTAGCCTCAGGCAGACTCTTTGGACAAGGGCAAAAGGCAGCCATTTTCTTCACCAAAATATCACAAGAATGATCTTTAGGCTACATACTAAAATTCTTCTCCTCTTAAACCTCTTGAGCAAGCCCCTGACAGTTCATATAACTCTTAGCCACCTCTGTCATCCATGCTCCTACTAGTATGGCCCTTTAAGCATTTCAGTGTTTTTATAACACAAAGTACCAAAGTCCAAATTCCTTTGAACAAACACATGGTCCAGCCTGTCACAGCCATACCACAGTTCCTGGTATTAACTTCTGTCTTAGGGGTTTCATTGCTGTGAAGAGACACCATGACTATGGCAACTCTTATAAATAGAAACATTTAATTGGGGTGTTTCACTTACAGTTTCAGAGGTTCAGTCCATTATCATCATGAAGAGGAGCATGGCAGTGTGTAGGCAGATGTGGTGCTGAAGCTGAGAGTGCTACATCTTGCAGGCAACAGGAAGTTGACTGAGACATTGGACAGTATCCTGAGCACAGGAATCCTCAAAGCCTGCCCCCACAGTGACACACTCCTCCAATAAGGCCATATCTGCTCACTCCAACAAAGCTACACTTCCTAATAGTGCCACTCCCTATGAGATTATGGGTGAAAATTACATTCAAACTACCACACTAGGTGATTCAACATTGTGTCAAGTTGTCAATCAAAATTAACCACCTTAGTTAGGGCCTGGAGATGGATCAGAAGTTAAGAGTGTGTTGTGATCTTGCAGAGGATCCCACTTTCCATCACCCAAGCATGCTCACAATCACCTGTAACTCTAGTTTCAGGAATCTGACACCCTCTTCTGGCCTCTGAGGACAACAACTCACATATAACACCCCTGCCCCCCCCATAACACATATTTAGAAATAAATAAAACAATAACCATCACAATATGCATAATAAGTTTTCAGTAGTCACATTTTATTCCGTCTAGTCTTTCCCCCTTTTAGAGCTTGTTTATTATTTTTATTCTTTGACAAGTCCACTTCCATTCCCCCTCACCTTCCTACCCCTTCCACTGAACCCCATTCCCCTTTATCCCAGTGAATCCTCCTCCTGGTTTATTGTCTCTCTGTGGCCCACTGTGTCTAATTAGTGCAGCTTGCATGAGTGGGGACTGTTTACAGGACTGTGGGCAAATTCCTTAAAGTGACAGCTTTTGTCCTGCAGAAAACTGCACTTTGAACTGGAGAGCCAGCTCAGTCAGTGAAGCATGAGAACCTGAGTTTGATCCCTGGATCCCATGTAAGAAGCTGGCAATGGCAGTGCTTGTAGTCCTGGTGCTTCAGCAGGAGAGATGGCCAGGTCTCTCTGCTCCCTGGCCAGCCAGCCAACCAGTGAGCTCCGGGCCAACGAGTAAGCCTGTCTCAAGAAACAAGTAAATGACTCCTAAGGAACAGGGGATAACACCTGAGATTTACTTCTGGTCTCCATAAGTACAGGAGCACACCAGCACCCACATGAAAATGGACCCTCAACATATATACACACCAAAAAGAAAATTTGCATTTTATTGCTCTCAGAGTTGTGTTTTACAGACTAAGTGTGTGTGTGTGTGTGTGTGTGTGTATGTGTGTGTGTGATATTGCATGTGATATAGAATGTGTGTGTATATATATGTGTGTATGTGATATAGAATGTATGTGTGTGTTAGCATGAATGGGAGTGTGAAAGTGTGAGTAGTGTGGGCTTATGGAGTGGCAAAGTGTGTGTGTGTGTGTGTGTGTGTGTGTGTGTGTGTGTGTGTGTGTGTAGATGAATAGATGAGTGTATATGCCTGCAAGAGTATGAGTGTGTATGTGTGTAAGTGCAGTAACCCCACATACCCACATGTTCCAGAGTTTCAGCTATTTGTAGGTATTGAATGGAAATATCCAGAAATTAAATTATCTAGATTATGCATTGTATACCATTCAAAGAAGCAAGATAAAACCTTTCTTTTCCTTCCTGGAATACGAATTATTCTTTTACCCATGTATGTACAGTGTATACACTACCTTCCCATTGGTCACTCAGCAATCGCTTCAGCTGTCATTTGGGTTATAGTCTGGAAGTGCTGATGTCCCAGTAACTCGTGTCTTAGTTAGGAACGGTCCTCAAGTTCAAAAGTAAAGATAACAGTATCTAACCTAACCCTACATGATAAGCCTGTGCCCTAATCAACTTCTAACCTTATGCCCTGACCCTGTGCTCTAATCCCATGCACTAACCCTATGTCCTGACCCTAACCCTAATTCTAAACACTAACCCTAACCTTAAAGCCCAGTCCTAACCCTAAACCCTAACCGTAACCCTAAACCCCAACCCTAACCCTAACCCCTAACTCTAACCAAAGGATATGCCAAAGAATCTGCAATGTGCTTCCTTTAAGCAAAAAGGTGAAAGTTCTTGATAAGGAAAGAAATAGTATGTTGAAGTCACTAAGATCTATAGTAAGGAACTCTTTTAATCTCTTACTGTGCCTAACTCTGTGTGTGTGTGTGTGTGTGTGTGTGTGTGCCCTTGCTCATGTGCATGCCTACATGTGTACAAGTGCACAGAAGCCAGATCAGGATGTTTTCCTGTATTCTCTCTGCCTTACTGCCTTGAGACAGGGCTCTCACTGAATTAGCAGCTCACTGCTTAGGTTAGTCTGGCTGTCCAAGAAGTTCTTGGGATGCACCTGTCTCCATCTCTGGTGTAGGGGTTACAGGCATGCACTGCCATGCTTGTCTTTTTTGGGGGTGGGGTGTTATTTGTTTTGTTTTGATTTTTTAAAAGCATGTACTCTGGGGACTCCAACTTGTGTCCTCACGCTCGCAGAGCAAGTACTGTGACCCACTGAGCCATGGCTCCAGCCCCCACAGCCCTAATTTTTCAATAGAAAATTATCGTGTATATGTGTGCACAAGAGAAAGCAATCTGTGGAGAGGTTGGTACCACTGGCTGGGCAGTCACTGGGAGACAGAAATGGACTCCTTGTAGGTAAAGTTGATGATTGTAAGGGTTGCAATCCATAAAATAGTGTAAGCATCCAGAAAGCCCATGCAGATATAAATATATCAATTGGTAAATATCCACATATATATATATATAATCAAGAAGCACTTGCAGTTGAGAAACCCGGCATATTTCCAGTTTGACAAGGTATAGTTTTTTTTTTTCTCTTTACTCTTTGGGGGCCTGCCACCCAGATCCCAAATAATTATACACATGGAGGCTTATTATTTCTTATGAAAGCCCACCCCAAGCTTGACTTATTTCTAGCTAGGTTTTCTTAACTTAAATTATCCCATCTGTCTTTTGCCTACCTCTCTCTACTTCTGTATATCTTTTCTGTCCTTCTTATTCTGTTCCTGGCTGTGGGGCTGGGTGGCTGGCCCCTTCTTTTCTCACTCCTTGATCTCTCTTTTTCTCCTTCTATTTATTCTCTCCATCCACCAGCCCCACCTATCCTTTTTCCTGCTGAGCTACTGACCACTCAGCTCTTTATTAGACCATCAGGTATTTTAGATTTAGACCATCAGGTATTTTAGGCAAAGTAACACAGCTCCACAGAGTTAAACAAATACAACATAAAGGAATGCAACACATCTTTGCATCATTAAACAAATGTTCCACAGCATAAACACATTTCACACGTCTTAAAATAATATTCTACAATAACAAGAGCTCAAAGATTATGGCCAAAATATAGCATGTGCCGACAACTGTCTTCTACTCTATTTTGTGGAACCTACTTGAAAAGTAAAGGGACTGCCTAAAACAGTCATTAGGTGGGTCGGGGGGGTATTTTTACAATTACTTTTAATCTCATTTGCAGACATGTCCCAAAGTGAACATATGTATACTTTTTCTTGGTTTAGAGTTTTATGATGTTTTTGGCTGTCCATTCTAGTTTCATTCTGCTGCTGTGATAAACCCCACTGAGCATCTTGGGTAAGGAAAGGTGTTCTTTGTCTTACACTTCCAGGTCACAGTCCATCATTAAGGGATGTCAAGGTAGGAGCTCAGGGCTGGAACTTGAAGGTAGGCCTGCTTGCTATTCTGCACATCGTTACCTCGAATTAAAGAACCCACTTCACAGCCGAAGAAATACATCAGGAGCCATGGAGAAGGCTGCTTGCTTGCTGGCTCACGGGTCGGTTTATACTGAGCTTTCTGATACAGTTCAGTTGCCTAGGGATGCTGCTGCCCACAGGGGGCTGGGCCCTTCAACATCAGTTAACAATCAAGACAATCCCTCACAGACATGACCCAGGCCAGTCTGATCTAGGCACTTCCTCAATTGAGACTATCTATCCTCTCAGATGACTCTAGGTTTCATCAAGGTGACAGTTGAATCTAATCAGACACTATCAAAAGAAGATCAAAACAAAACAAAATCCTCCTCACAGTTGGAATTCTCAGTCCTTGGACAAGCAGCTCAATGTGAATCTTCTTATGCTTTTTCCCATACACATATAATCCTGAAAAAGTACATAAACAAATCATGGTTTTTCTAACTCCAAACAGGAAGCTCTTGCTTCAGAGGCAGGCAAGCATAAGGAACATCTCAGTAGCTGGGGCTCTGCTTGTCTTGGGCTATGCACACGTTGTTTTCTAACAATGTACTTGACAGCCTGAGACGATTACCTAAACACACTGAGCACACACCCCTTTCTGAACAATGCACTGGGCAACTTGTTAGCAACATAGGACCCCCAGGCTGTGTGCACACTCCTCTCTGAACAATGGGATATGTTTCTGCTTCCCTTAATGACAATCGAACAGCCAGATTCCATTTAGTTATACTTCACTTATGTCTGGTTGTAAGGGTAGGGAGGACAATCTTGTCTAAACTGGTTTAAGTTACATGTAAAATAAGGGAAACTGTATCTGCAATATGTATTTTTTAAGGAGGATCCCCTATTTGCTGTCTTATGCACATGGGCATATATATATGATTAATCCAATGCATTATGGAAAGAGAGAGACACAGAGAAACAGTTATACAGCTGGACAACTATCAATCAAAATGGAGATGCACCCAAATTATACCCTTAATAACCAAACTCCTCCTTCTCCTAAACCCCATAAAAGAATCCCCAAACAATAATCTGTGCCTTGAGTATCCTCACTCACGGCCTGCTGTCAATTTTTAAATTGCATTTACTTATTCATTTGTTTGTTTATTTTCATTGCATGTCTGTATGCATGGAGGTCAGAGGATGACCTCCAGGAGTTGGTTCTCTCCTTTCACCGTGTGGATTCCAGGGATCCAGTTCAGACCATCAGTCTCAGAGACAAGTGCCGCTATCCACTGAGCCACCTGGCTGGTCCCTGCTGTCAACTTGACAGCATATTCCTTCTTTTTCTTCCTCTTTTCTTTATTCATTTTGAGACAGATCTCACTATGTAGCCCTGGCTGGTCCACATAGTAAGTAGATCAGCTTGGCCTTGAACTCACAGAGATTGGCTTACCTCTGCCTCCCGAGTGCTGGGATTAAAGGTGGGTGCCACCAGGCCTGGCTAACAGCACATTCCTGGTTTGCATTATCACTCTGCTTTGAATAGAGAAAGTATTCTTACCACTTTTTGATCTGAGTGCCCTTTTATTTAGTTCTTGAACAAGATACCAAGAACCTAGATATATCCAGCCCAGATCCCCAACACCAACACTAATTCTAAATAATAATGATAATAATAATAATAATAATAATAATAATGACATTTGAGTATAAAAGTAAACTTTGTTTGCAAAAGATCACATAAGCTACAAACTTCTGAAACAAGCAAAATAAAACAGAACACGTAATATGAGCCAATAGAAAATGGGATAAATGACATTAATGGGAAAATATCATGGAAGACCAAACCCAAACAGGCATAAAATGCATGAAAATTTCATAGCTTACGAACAATTAGGGAAATGCAAACTACCAGCCGCACTGAGCTACCATGTTCTTCCCATCAAACCAGCAAAAATGAAAACCACTGACAGCTCGTAGGAAGGAACATTCTCTTCGTCTTCGCTGTTTGAATTGCAAAGTACTTTCCCGGCAAGCAAATAACTGGCAGTATAGTCAACCCAGAACTTCCTCTCCAGAATGGCTGACTCCTGCAAATTAAAGCAAGTATATGAGGCTATTTATTATTACATTGTTAGCAGCGGGCAGGAATGGGAAAAAACCTGAATGCCTATTAGTGAGAGAATGGCTGCAGAACTACAATTATTTACTGTAGGCTAGCCAGCCGTGAAAATAAACAAATTAAGACATTTACCAGATGACTTGGAGAGATTTCCATGAGGAACTGAGAAATGCATGCATGAGCAGAGCGATTTCATGACTGTGAAACCAAGGGAGCCCCAAGCATCCTGTGTGTGTGTGTGTGTGTGTGTGTGTGTGTATGTGTGATTGCATGAGTGTGTATGTGTGATTGTGATTGTGTGTGTGATTGTGTATATGTGTGATTGCATGAGTGTGTATGTGTGATTGTGATTGTGTGTGTGTGTGTTTGTGATTGTGTATATGTGTGATTGCATGAGTGTGTATGTGTGATTGTGTGATTGTGTGTATGTGTGTGTGTAGGCAGAGATCAGTGTTGAGTGAATGTCTTCCTCAATTACTCTCCACCTTTTATTTTGACACAGGGCCTCAGTGAACCTGGAGCTCACAGATTCATCTAGACTGTCTGGAGTCACCCTGGCTTCCCCTCCCCAATGCCAGGACTACAAACGTGTGTCTCTGTTGCTGGGCTTTTTTAAAAATGTGCATCTTGGTAGTGGAACTTTGGTCCTTTTGACAGTATGCAAGCGCTTAACCACTTGAACAATGTCCTCATCCTAGAATCTTTTTGTCAAATAGTTTCTCTCTGTGGAACCTAGGCTGGCCTGACACTTCAAGCATTTTGAAGCGCCAGGCCCCACCCAAACTTTATTCTCCCTCGTCCTTGTTCACTCTTTGATGGAGTCCAGTTTGACTTGCATCTCCACCACTCAGCAAAACTTCTGTGGTCAGTCACCGATCATCTCGGAGTCGCCAGAGACAGCTGCCACTTCTTAATGATTAGCCCAATAGCTCTCTAAACAGCCAAGAATTCTCTGTTTTTCACTCTGCTGATACCACATGCTACTCCTGGCTTTCCTTGACTCTTTGGTTGGTAATTCGTGTGTGTGTGTGTGTGTGTGTGTGTGTGTGTGTGTGTGTGTGTGTGTGTGTTCAGAGGCCCACAGACAAAGTCTGGTATTGTCCCTTAGGTGCCATCTATCTTTAATTCTTTGAGACAGGGTCTCTCACTAGTCTAGAACTCACCGAATAGGCTTTGCTAGTTGGCCAGTGAGCCCCAGGGATTCATCTGTCTCTGCCCGTTACCCCAGTGTTGGGATTTCATGTACACACTACCACACCAGGATGAAAACACTTTTTTTCTGCGTGTGTGGATGTTTTGCCTGTACTTGCCTGTGTGCCGTGTGTGCTGTGTGCTCTTAGAGGACAGAGAGGGAATAGGATCCTCTGAAGCTGATGTTGCAGACGGTTGTGAGATACCAAGCAGGTGCTAGGAACCAAGCCCGGGTCCTTTGGAAGAGGATTCAGTGCTCTGAGCTGAGCCGTTTCTCTCTACCCCACCCCGTTCTTTTAAGCACACCAGCTGCTTTCTTTGGTAGCACGCACAAGAACCTGGGGAACAAACACCGGTTTGGTGGGTTCGCAAGGAAAAACGTTTACCAGCTGACCTATCTTCCCGGCTCTTTACTAATTTCTTGACCTCTAAACGAAATAATCTTGCGCTTAGTCTTGGGTTTCCTTAAGTCTAATTTTTCTGAGGGAAAACTTTTGAACCTAAAGACTTTGAGCAGCGTCCAGTTCTTTTTTGGAGGAAATACAACCTGCGGACGCTAGAGGTCGCTACTGTACCATAAAACATGGCCTGTCAGTGGAACCCCTTAACAACATCTTCAACGATAACAATGATGGTGTCTTATTCCCAGGGGTGGAAAGGGAGTGGGCTATGGAGAAAAACTACGGTTTGAGAAGAAAGGTGGGCAGTTTCTAGTTTCTGAGGGTGGCTGTCACCTGCGGGTGTTTTGAAATATCGACTTGAAATCTAAGTAAATACCAGGGGACTTAGAGTTTCCACTTGGTTTTCAGATTTTTATCTTTGGTCGAACATCCAAACCTTCTCACCGCCTGAAGCGCTGGAAACACAACACAACAAAACTCAACAAAGACAGACTCTGTGGTGTTTGCTGCACAGACTGCCGAGAAATTACCGGCCCTCTGGGTTTCATTTTGGTAGTCCAGAATTAGGCTTGAGGTAACTGTGTGGCTGCTCTCCTATTTAGAGTGCATACAATTTAAGATCATTCTGGGGCTGGGGAGGTGTCTCCACTCACAAAGCATTAGGACCTGAGTGTGATCTCCAGAACCCATGTACAAGGCCAGACACGGTGACATGTGTTTGTAATCCCAGTGATGACAAGGCAGGAGGCAGGCACATTAGATCCTGAAACTCCTTGCCCAGCTAGCCTAGGCTGTTTAGTGAAGTTCCTGGCCAATGAGAGACCCTGTGTCAAACAGAAACTGGCAAATGCCTGAGAAACAGCACCCAAGGTTGTCCTCTGATGTCCACACAGGCACACACACCTGCGCCTTCCCCCACCACCGCCACCACGATTCTCAGTCTCTTGAGATGATGCTCTGTCTCTTGATCCATCCATGCTGGTCCCAATCCTCTTCCCTGGACCTTGAATTTCCCTGTCACCTCAGATGGACAAGGAAGTGGCCAGATGAGTGGTCAGGTGAGCAATCAGGACTCTTGGTGGGGGAAGGGTGTGTGATGATTTTTGTCACGTGGAGTCCTTCCTGTTCTCACCCCAACCCCCCAGTCCCTGCCCTGGCCTCCCTAGTGTCCGGGAACTTGAAGGCCCTTTGTATCATCACTTATGTGCCTGACTGCTTCCTTGCAAGGGTCTCAGGCCCTTCACTGTCCCCCAGAGAGCTGTTTCAATGTCTTACAAGCTGCCTATGACTCTCTCAAATGTGTTTGTTCTGAAAGCCTATCAGGCAGCCAGAGCTTTAAACTGTCATTTTCCAAAGAACAAGGTCCTTGCTTTTTTAACCGATTATGTATTATTTACATTTAAAATATCACAAGAGAATGTTTGGCTTCAACTCACAATCAAGACATGTCCACAGACATGCCCACAAGCCAGTCTGATCTGGGCCATCCTCCAGTTGAGACTCCCTTCTCAGATGACCCTAGGCTGTGTGAAGTTGACAGTTCAAGCTAAACAGGACACATAGACACCGTGAGGACTCAGGCTCCTCCCAGTCACAGGTCCGCCTGCGGGGTCTCTTGCTCTTCAGAGGAGGCAGGAGACAGAGCAAAGCCTGATTCCTCATTTCCATCCTCTGCTCTCAGCTCTCCACCTCCTCCCTGCCAGCAACTCTCACTGCCTGCCCTCACCCAGCTCCTGGCCTGCAGCTCAGAAAGCCACGGGACTTTCCCTCTGAGCTCCCATGGTTGCTTATAGAATCACAGAGGTTAGAGGGAAGATTAAAGATGAAATAAATTAATTATCATGCTTGAAAAGCTCTCTAACTGCCTCTGACAAAGGAGTTATACTTCTGTGCTTATTTAGATCCAAGAAACTTTTGGCCTCCCAAGGAGGCTTATCTGCCACTTATCTATCATCTGTGTATATATATGTATGCAAAATGCACACATATTTTCTATCTATCTATCTATCTATCTATCTATCTATCTATCTATCTATCTATCTATCTATCTTTCTATCTATCTATCATCTATCACCAATGTGTGTATGTATATATGTATGTATGTACGTATGTATGTATGTACATATCTATCTATTTATCTATCTACCCATCTATCATCTATTACCTATCCATCTATCTGTGTGTCTCCTTCTATCCACAGAGGTTCCTTGACTCAGGTTAACATTAAGTCCCAATAAACCTAGTATAGGCTAAAAAAAAAAATGCACTTAAAATACCTAACCCTGGGCTAGAGAGATGACTCAGAGGTTAAGAATACTTGCTGCTCTTCCAAGAGAATTTGAGTTTAGTTCCCAACATCTATATCAAGTGACTCACAACTACCTGGAACTCCAGCTACATGAGATCTGATGCCCTCTTCTGGCCTCCGTGGCGTCTGGACACATGTGGTATACATTCTTCCTCATACATGCATAAAATAATAAGCACCCAACCTACTGAATGTCATTGAATATCAAGTTGTCACTGCAGAGCATCCGTTGTTCCCCCTGTGACTATGTGGCTGAGATTGTGGCTTGCTGCGTCTGTCCAGGGTCACGAGAAAACATCACACCACATACTGCTCACCAAAGGAAAGACGAAAATGCAAAATTCAAAGTATGATCTCTATTGAGTGCCTGTTGCTCTTGACCTTTCATAAAGTTAGAAAATAGTAAGTTGGAAATCACTGTCTGTCTATCTATCTATCTATCTATCTATCTATCTATCTATCTATCTATCTATCTATCTACCTACCTACCTATCTATCTATCTATCTACCTACCTACCTACCTACTTATCATCTATCTGTCTACCTATCATCACCCATATATCTTTATCAACCATTACACCATTCTATTTATTTATCTATAAAATGAATCTTTCTATAGTTCATTTTATCTATCACTATTTCTTTGTCTTGTCTTTCTTTGTGTGCATCTATGTTATATATGTTCAAAGTCATGAAGGTACATAATTTAAAAGCTCTTCAGAGATGTCTCTTTCGTGCTCTCTTTCTCAGGTTCTGGATTTTGAGATTCTGTCTGGCTTTTGTTAAAAAAGATGAGGATATATCTCATCCACTCCTTCACACAGAAATCTTCTCTTCCCTTCTGATTCTGTTTGATTAAATTTGCATTTATGTAATTATTTACATATGGCTATTACTTAGAGGAATCTACTTAATGTATTATGATTACTGTCTCTACAATTCATGGTTAGTTCTGTTCCTATCTGAAATCCATGACTCCATGGCTTAGGATTTCTCTCTTTTACTATGCCAAGTCTTCCTCAACTTCTTTCCATCTTCTGAAACTTCTTCATATCTTTCC